ATTTTGTGGGGTCTTACGAGTCTTAGCCTCCATGAAATCAAGTTACAATACTGATCTCAACGTGAACAATATAACATTACTTAAATTGCAATTGTAATAATGCATTGCATGTTCGTACAGTTTCAGTTTGATGAGGAAAATAACGGAACCGCACGAGTGAACACAAAGTGGCAAATAATTATCATAATTCAAAGCACTCGTGATGTATCATTTAAATAAATGAAAAAACCTTGCCCATTCTCATATCAAAAACATAACATTTAATATCACCATGGACCTCAGAGTTTTTTTTTTCCCCCCTATCTAAGCTTTGTAAACAATCTTTTCTATATATAAACATGTCCTTCACCATTGTACTTTTCATCACAAAAAACATCTCTATCTCTCTATTGAATCTTTCTTTATTTGACCTCTCCTTTCTCTATATTCTCAAAATGAAGAACAAGTTCATAAAAGCTTGTGAAAACAAATTGAAAACCATGAAAACCAAATCCATAGTCATACCTTGTTGTACATCTTCATGCGAGAGTTGCTGCGAGAAGGTTTCTTGGGGATTTAAGAAAGAAAACGAAGCAATACCAAAAGATGTTCCAAGAGGACATTTGGTAGTTTATGTAGGTGATAATTACAAGAGGTTCGTGATAAAGATGAGTTTGCTTAACCATCCAATCTTCAAGGCATTGCTTGATCAAGCTCAAGATGCTTATAACTCCTCAAGATTATGGATTCCATGCGACGAGAACACTTTCCTCGATGTTGTTCGTTGCAGTAGAGCTCCTCAGCATCATCAGAGGAACTGCATTGGCATGTAAATGTAAAAATGATGATAATCCCATTTTGATTTTTATTCATCATCTCCGGTTTTATGTTTCCAGAGAGAATGAAATGTTTATTATTGATTTAGATAATGTTGTGCACTAATTAAGTAAGAGTTTCTTATTATGAGTATCATCTTCATATGATTCTATTAGTAGTATTATAAGTATAAGCAAGAGTGACTGAACATGCAACAACATCTAGAAAATGTTTGAACATTTAAACTCTGACAAAGATTGTTTTTTCTCATACATCTCAAGACAAATAGCAAAAACTTTTAGTAACTGAAATGCTCTGTGTCATATAACAGACTGAAACTCTTATCCGATGCACATATTTTCAGAGAATCTCGGATTAATCGAAATAAACTTCCAGTTTCTATCAATTGTCTATAGCCGAAAAGAATGAGCTTGCTGCTAGATTATTCCACCATCATAAAAATGAATGTCAAGAAATTAGACTTCTTTAACTTGACAATGAGAGATTATGACAAATGCATAGTTTTGTAGTAACTAGTAAGCGAAGATTCACATTGGCGCACCATACTACATTAAAAAAAATAAACTACATGAATACATTGTCGAAGCTAAGGGATATGTTTGTAAGTAGAAGTTCTAAAAATAGCCATGAGATGATGATGCATACCATAAAGTTTTGACCAAAAGCTTACATAAAAGGATTCATTATTATGTTGATACATTTGAAGCCAGACAAATAAATCCACAAGTTACAACGAGTTTACATGTAAAATTTATTATATATATTATACAAAGTGACACTATTTTCAGATT